TTTTGGTTTTTCTCCGGTACCAGGAACCGAACTCACGACCTTGCGCTTGCCAGGCAGGCGCTTTGCCGCTGAGCTAAATCCCCAGCCCCCCAATTCTAATTCTGATTAGCAATAGCTACTGTTACTCATTACTCAGCCTGGAGTGTGGCACACACCTGTGGTCCTAGCACTTGAGAGGCTGAGGCAGGAGGACCACTGTGAGTTTGAGACCAGCCTGGGCTACAGAGCAAGACCCTATCTCAAACAAAGCAAAGCAAAACCAAACCAAACCAAACCAAACCAAACCAAACCAAACCAAACCAAACCAAACCAAACCCCAAATCACTCATATACAATGGCAGGAAAGGGAAAAAAAGAGAATCAAAGTGGCTGCTATTAAGAAAGCAGATACCTTGCCGGGCGTGATGGTGCACACCTGTGATCACAGCGCTCTGGGAGGCTGAGGCAGGACGATGCCTATAGGAGAGCAACCTCCCTGGTCCCTGTCTAGTGCGGTGCTGTGTCCTGCTGGGTGAGTCTATACCATGGAATGACCAGACCAGCAAACCTCACGGGCCTGTGGACTTGCTCCCCGGATGGCAAGCTCTTTGCTCCCTGCGACCCACCTATGTGGAGATGTCCTGTCGTAACAGAGGAGCAGCAAGTAGGTTTCTGTCCAGAGCTGTTCAGCTTCAGCCATCCAATTCCTACTATCCTGGCATCTTGTTTGTGTGTATACGAGTGGTGTTTTGTTTTGTTTTGAGACAGGGTCCCACTGTGTAGTGCAGACTGGCTCTGAACTTAGCGATCCACCTGCCTCAGCCTCCGAGTGCGGGGCAGACAGCTGTGTGCCATCACGCCGGCTCTGGTATCTTTCATATGTGAGCTGGAGACACTGAGTCTTCCTGCAGCATTGGCTAAAGCAGTTCTCTGGCAGCACCATTATTTCCCCCTGGTACTGCAATCCCTGAACGCGCTCGGCAGCCTGGTGTGTCCTTTGGGGTTTGCTAAAAAGCACAACCTAGGAGTCTTGGCTTTCTTTGCTGATTTCCACGCCTGCTAAAGGTGTGGAGCTGGGCTTGCCGGGCGGTTCCGCTCAGAGGCTGATCCCATTCCCGGGAGGGACCTCGCCCCTGCGTGTGGAGGTGTGGAACGCAGCCTCGTTAACTTTTAAAAGCGATTTCACAGTTATCCAGCAGAGGGGGCGCCGCAGGAGACAGAGACCCAAGGCTGGGTTTTTGTTGCTGTCATTACTACTGTTTTTTGAGACAAGGTCTCATATGTAGTCCAGGCTGGTCTCCAACTCGCAGTGATCCTCCTGTCTCAGCCTCTCAATCATAGGCATGGGCCACTGTAGCTGGCTGTTCAGCATTTTTGATATAATGTTTTATTCTACTATAACAAATATAATTATCGGGTTTTTTGGTCTTTTTGAGACAGGGTCTCGCTATGCAGTTCAGGCTGGCCTTGAGCTCACTTTGTAGCCCAGGCTGGCCTCAAACTCGCAAGATCCTCCTGCCTCAGCCTCCCAAGTGCATGACCATGACCGGCTTGTTCACTCTTCTTAAGCAGTCCCTGGCACAGGCTGGTAAATATCTGTGGGCTAATGAAGCAGTGTGCTCATTCCAACAGCTAAGATAGATCTCACACTCTCTAATCACTACTCTTGCTTCCTTTTCAGGGTTTGTGTAGGAAATTTTCCTACCATCCCACTCTCCCCAGATAGGTTGTGACTCTTGGGACCACAAACCTGCAGCTTTGCCACATCTCCACTTGACCCCTGCAAGCCTGAATCTTGACTATGCTGTTTGCCCTGCCCAGAGTGTCTTTCTTTCCTGCCCTGCCTGGTGAACTCATACTCAACCTTGGAGGCCCTAGCACTCTGTACCCATACCTATCTCAGCAGTCATCGCCCTGGGCTGTACCTGTGTGCTCATGTGTTGTGGTTACAGCTGCAAAATGGTGAGCTCCTGGCATTGCTGACCTTTTGTTCCCAGAGTTCGTATACTGGGCGCGATATATTTGGGCGGTCATGTAGGTGAGAGAGCCCAGGGTTGGTCTCCGCTCCTACCTGCACCTCCCCGGAGCAGGCTCTAGAGGGCAGCCTCGCGCCGCCCGCGGCTTCCCCAGCTTCAGCCAGAGCTTTTCCTCTATACCCTGTGGGATGGAAGCATGGAGGCATGGATGGGCGGGGCGATAGATAAAGTGGCTGTCTGTCCAGAATCCAGATGGCTCTGGAGTTGACAGGCTCAGGGACTGGGGCATCTAACCAAGATGCCTTAGGTGACACAGCTCCTTCTCCTCTTAGGGACCACCGACTATGACTGAAACTAGAAAATATTTTTGAGTTCAAAATAAAAAAACATTGTAGAGCCAGCCACAGTGGTGCATTCCTATAACAGTACTCAGGAGGCTGAGGCAGGAGGATCGCTGGGAGTTTAAGGCCAACCTGGCCTACATAGTGAGTTCAAGGGCAGCCTGAACTATAGTGTCTTCAAAATAAAACAAAACAAAACAAAACAGCAATGTGGAATTGAATGATCATTTAAATAAATAATTTCAAAACAAACTATCAGCTCATCAACTGCAAGTCTTCTAGGATAAGGTTATTGTATGTAGGATGTAAATGCATGTTTGTTGGTTTTTGTTTTTCATGTTTTTGTTTTGAGACATGTGGCATGTAAGTGCATGGGTTTTTTCTTCCTCTCCTTTTGTTTTGAAAGCTCTGGCCTGGAACACACAGTGATCCTCCTGCCTCAGCCTCCCCAGGGCTGGGATCCCAGGTGTGACTCCAGTCAGCCTATTGCTTTTTATTTTAATTTTTTTTTTTTGCATTTTAATATTGTTGCCCCAAGGCGGCCACTGGAGTCCTCAGAGGCCCTCGAGGGAGGGAGCAGAACCGAGGGAGAAGCTGGCCACAGAGTCCCTGCCAAAGGTGCAGGGCAGCTGGCGATGAGCCAGGACAGAGTCTCAGGCTGTCGCCTCCTCCTGCAGGGGCCAGACCTGTCTATGCCAGCGAGGATGACCTTGCTTTCCCGACCTTAGGGTGACTGATGCAGGTCCAGGGTTTCCCCAGGAGGCTCCTACACTGGGACACCCTGAATGGGGGAGGCTCTGCCCCCAGACCCTGTGTCCTGGAGAGGAGACGGGATCCGGAGTCCAGGTCCCAGCAGCCGGGGGCACTGCCGGCTGGTGGCCTGGGGCGTCTGGGAGAGGGCTGGGCTTTGAGTGGAAACCAATAGAGAGGGGCGTCCTAAAGGGTGGGAGAGGCTGGGCGGGTATGGTGGCCCACAGCTGTCATCCCAGCACCTAGGAGGCTGAGGCAGGAGGGTGGCTGAGAGCTTAAGGCCAGCCTGGGATATAATAGGGAGACCTTGCCTGAAAAAACAAAACAGAGAAAGAACAAAAGAAAAGGAAAGGGCTGGGGATATAGCTCAGTGGCATAAGTGCCTCCCTGGCAAGCACAAGGTCCTGAGTTCAATTCCCAATTCCCACAAGGGGGAAAAAAAAAAAAAGGAAGGAAGGGGGAAAGGCGCCTGCAGTTGGAAGGAGAAGATGGCTTTAAGGAGGCTTCCAGGCGGAGAGAGCCGGGAGCTCGCGCAGCACCTGCTCGGGGCAGAGGACAGCGCCCTGGGTGCAGAGGAGCCGGCGGCCCTGCCAGGCCTGCGGCCCAGCGGCCCAGCAAGCGGTGCCTCTGTGGGTCCAAGGGAGCCGAGGTGACGCAAGACGATGCAGCAGCTCCCCAGGAGGGGGCGGTGCGCAGGGCGAGGGATCCTCACGCTGCTTCTACTGTTCACCTGCCAGGACTCGGTCTCCTCGAGGGCCAGATCCGAGCTGGAGGAGGGTGCTCGTGCTAGAGGGGGGCACCCAGAGGCATGGACAGTCTTTTGAGGGGAGAGGAGGCTAGGAATTTATATGGTCTTTTTTTGTTGCTTTTTTTTTTTTTTTTTTTTTTTCCTTTTTTTTTTTTTTTTTTTTTTTTCCCTGGTACCAGGAATCTAACTCATGACCTTGCACTTGCTAGGCAGGCACTGTGCCACTGAGCTAAATCCCCAGCACCCCTGCTTTTTTTTTGAGACAGCGTCTCGCTACGCAGCTCAGGCTGGCTTTGAGCTCACTTTGTAGCCCAGGCTGGCCTTGAACTCGCAATGATCCTCCTGCCTCAGCCTCCTGAGTGTGCGATTATAGGCATGCGCCACCGCACCCAGCATTTTTTTTTTGGTAGTACTTGGGATTGAGCCCAGAGCTCTGAGCATGCGAGGCAGGTGCTGTACTATTGAACCACGTACCTAAACCTTTTTTATATTTTGTTTGTTGAGTTCAGGCTGGCCTTGAACTTATTGTGTAGCCCAAGCTGGCGTGAACTTGTGGCAATCCTCCTGCCTCAGCCTCCTGTGTACTAGGACTACAGGCACGGTTCACCACACCCAGCTCAATGGGGTTTTGAAACCCCCACACACTAAGTTCTCCAGCCCTTATGCCCTTTGTTTGAAGACCCCTTCATCTTGTGTCCTGAAATTGTTTCAATTTCTCCTTCCCTCTTAGGCTGGGAGACCAAAGCCTGCCTGTCTCCCTACAGCCTGAGGGTCCCCAGCGTGTCTCTTCATCACCCCCCCCTCGCTCACTGGGGGACGAGCTCCCGCTCCTGGCCGACTCTTGCTGCACGCGGCGCTGGAGCGCGAATGCTGAGTGAATAGGCCCAGCCCCGGCATCACGTTCTCCTCTGTGCAGGGATACACCAACGACTTCAGACGGAGCACGCTGGGTCCCTGACTACCTGGAGTCTGTGGGCAGAACTCCCCCCAACTTTATGGGGTACAACCATCTCCTCCGGGAGGCCTCCCCAACAGAAGAAATACATGGCCTCGGGCAAGTGCTAGGCTACACTCACAGCCTCTACCGTTAAGCTTTTTTTTTATGTGTGTGGTTATTTTTTGTGTGCGTGTGTGTGTGTTTTGTTTGTTTGTTGAGACAGGGTCGCACTATGTGGTTCAGGCTGGCCTCAAACTCACAGTGATCCTCCTGCCTCAGCCTCTGAAGAGCTGGGATTAACAAAACTGCCCTCCCACATCTGCCATCAAATACATTCTGAAGCATAAAATTCCATACAAATGCAAAGGTACATGAATACTTATGCTTTTGGCTAAGGACACAGAGACTGTCTCAAGACAAGAGCTGAGGATGTAGCTCAGTGCAAAGGCGCGGGTTGTCTTTGGGTAGCATCCCTAGGTAGAGCCTAGTTTGCCTTTTCCTGGGTAAGGCTGCATCTCTTAGCCTGGCCAATCAGCTCGTCCGAACTTGTTGCTAGGAGACCAGGCCCTGTGTAGTTCAGAGCAACTCACTACAATAACAAGGCACCCAACTGGTGGGCTGTTCTGTGGACATCCTGCCAGCCGGCTCGAAACAAGGCTGGGATCACAGGTGTGCTACCGGCACGCCTGGCCAACTCTTTTTCTGATTTTCATCTGGCTTTCGCTCACACTCACACGTGCCAGGTAACGTTCCCCCAGCTCATCAAGTAAAAAGGCCAAAACAATGCAGAAAACACTGAACAGGCTGAGGGGAGCCAGGTGTGGTAGCCCACGCCTGTCATCCCAGCACTTGGGAGGCTGAGGCAGGAGGATCAGAAGTTCAAGGCCAGCCTGAACTACATGGCAAGACCCTGACCCTCACCTAAAAGATCAAATAACCAAGAAAACAACAACAAAACAGAAACAGACTGAGGGGAAATGAGTCAAAGGGAAACCTGTTGTTACGGGAAGCCGGACAGTGTTAAAAATCCAACTTGCTGTACATCCCAGGCGCTCTGTGCCTTCTCGCTGCTTCTGCGCCGTCCTGCCGCTGTCCTGCGTGGGCGTGCTGGGGTAGGGGCCCTGGCGGCCGTGTAAGAGCGGCCTGACCACTGGGCACTGCGGGGGCAGAGTCGCCTCTCCCTGTGCAGCCGGGGACGTGACCGTGTGGAAGGCACTTTGTCTTACACACAGCCGAGGGTCACCAGCGCCTGACTGGTTTTCACCGAGCCCCGCAGCTGCCGATTGGGCAGCACAGCGCGGGGGCAGGAACCGCCAGGCAACCGAGTGGGGGACCATCTGCTCCAGCCCCAAGGGGACGGAGTGGAACTGCTTCTTGAGTTCAGCAGACAAATCTGATGGAGGCCGCTGGGCTCCGCCGCCTGCTTGCAAGGCGGAGGCAGCACCCCCGTCTCCCCAGCTGAAGCGTCTCACCCCCACCCCAGCTAAGGGTGGGACACCTTTGTGTAACTGTTAAAATGGGTGAAGAGGAATCTCTATGAGGGCTGCCATCCCATAGTCCTCCTGCTTAATCCATAAACCTAAAAATACAAGACTATAAAGCCAGGCGTGGTAGTGCACACCTGTAATCCCAGCACTCAGGAGGCTGAAACAGGAGGGTTGCTGCAAGTTCCAGGCCAGCCTGGGCTACATAGTGAGTTCAAGGCCAGTTTGAACTACATAGTGAGACCCTGTCTCATAAAACCAACTCACCCACCCAAATAAATAACCATCCACTGAAGGCTTGTTACTTAAGTCCCTGAAAGAGTGTTTATTTATTTTTGTGTTAGATGAACAATCTGCTCCATTACTCTGCATCCCCACCCCAGCTGACCCGTTCCGCAAGCTGCAAACCCATCAAAGCGTCTCAACTCTTAACGCTAAGACCCAGCCGTGGCGGGCACGGCACAGTTCCCTGAACGGAGAGCCGAGGGGCACAGGGCTCTGTGAGGAGGCATTCCCGTCAGGGGTCGGGAAGAAGACACGCGATGAAGGAGAAATCTTTGGTATTCAAGCTGGGTGTCCCGGCCGCGGCGGGGCCTCCTGGGCTCGGCGGGAGGGGAGGCCGAGGAGGAGGAAATCTCAGAGGCTGGTGCCTCCCGCCAGGGCCGGGCCGGAGCCTACTACTCACACTCAGGCCCGACCGTGGCTGGCAGAGGACACCCTGGGAGAGGGACACTCGGTGCCCATGCCCGAGTCCTGAGGAAAAACGGGCACTGTGGCCGTGGGACTTTTGACCCACCCTGCGGCTCGGGTGCGCGGCACATGACGGCGGGCGCTAGAGGGAGTGGCAGTACATGTGGTCTTCGAAGACCTGCTTCTCGGTGGCCGGGAAGACCCTGTCACAGATCGGGCACGTCAGGCATTTCTCGGCGGAGGGCTGACAGGCAGAACAGAGGCAGGGCAAGCGTGAGCTGTGGGGGGGACACAGCCGCCTGGCTTCCCGCTGTGTCCCAGCGCCATGCGTGACTGGCACGTGACCATGGCGCACGCCATAATCCCAGCTACGGGGAAGGTCAAGGCAGGAGGGCATCAAGTTCAAGGTCAGCCCGGGCAATTTGACAAGACATTGTCTCAAAATAAATTTTTAAAAAAGGAGCTGATTGTGGTGGCATCCACCTGGAACCTGGGCACTCCAAGAGGCTGAGGCAGGAGGACTGAAAAGTCTCGCTCAGGCTGGGCAAGGTAGAGACTCAGTGAGACTCTGTCTCAAGACAAGAGCTGAGGATGAAGCTCAGTGCAAAGGCGCAGGTTCCATCCCCAGTACAAGAAGAAAACCACCGAAGGAAGAGCTGCACTCCGAGACGCCTGGAGAGGCTCCCTGGCGTGCTCAGGCCCCGGGACGGAACAGTACCAGCCAATGCGCCCGGCTTAGCCTCGCAGGCCTCCACCTCGCCCCACCGCCACTTGGAGCTCACGGGCGGGGTCCCCAGCCACACGGTGCCACAGGCCTGGTCTGTACCCCGTCCAGCCAGCCCTGGCCTCAGCGAGCGAACCCTTTCCCCCAGGCCCCCACGCGCAGAGCAGGGCGGAGTCTCACGGACCCAACAGGCAGGCTCCTGGGGGAGACACTCACCAGGCCAGAGGCGGAACTTTCTTGGACACCTGAGGAGAACAAAGAAGACTCCATTCAGTGACACAGCACCGTTCCTGACGCACGTGGGAGACTTTTAGTATTTTGTTTTGTTTTGAGACAGGGTCTTGGTGCATAGTTCAGGCTGGCTTTGTTGGGAACTTTCCGGGATTCTCCTGCCTCAGCCTCCCGAGTGCTAGAATTATAGGCATACACCACCACACCCAGCAAATTACTATACTGTATTTTAAGTAAATGAACTTTCTGTTATTTTGAATCATCTTTAGAAATCCCCTTTTGATTGTTTGCTGCTGGTGTACAGTAAAGCAATTGAAGCCGGGCGTGGTGGCGCACCCTGTAATCCCAGCACTCAGAAGGCCGAGGCAGGAGAATCACCACAAATTCAAGGCCAGTCTTGTTCTGACATTTTATTTTTCTCTTTAAAACAAAAATACCCCAGGCCATCATGCAATGTCCTAGCGGCCGTGGTCTGCGCCGTTTGCGGTGGGCCAGAGCCCAGCCTCCACCTGCTTCGCTGCATCCCTACTTCCTTCCCTTTCCTTTGGTGCGGTGCGGGGCATCAGATCCAGGGCCGGCCGCGCCCCGTCATCAGGTCCTGCCGAGCTGCGCTGCCAGGTGGCGCCAGAATCCCAACTTCACCTTCGCCACAGCAAGGGTCCCGTGGTCTTTACCCTGTGCCCGCTCCGCGCCACTCTCCTCACGAGCTGCAGAGCCCCGAGCAAGGAATCGGGCCCCCAACTCTGCAGGACCAAGACCTTCCGCCCCTCTGGGCTGCGGTTCTCGGGGTGGACACCTGGGACCCAGCCCTCTGGGGACTCCTCGGTGGGGCTGCCCTGCAGCGCCGGCGGCCTCCCTGCGAACGGGAGCGCCCGTGGCTGCGGAGCCCATGACCCCGCCAGCGGCTCCCCACGCTCTGCCTCTGCCCAGCCGACCGGGGCGGGGACACAGGCACCCCCTCCGCAGGGCCGCTCCTCAGCTGGACAGCGAGGGACCCTGTCTCCCCTCCCTAGGCCTCTTTCTGCAGGGCTGCTGCGTGGGGCGGAGGAGAGAGGATGCCAAGGAGCGTCGCAGACTCTCACACTGAATAAACCTGTCCCTCCGGGAGCGCGCGGACGGGGTCCGGCCCTGGAGTAGGATTATTCCTTCACACGCTCCCGAGGAAGGCAGGAGGTCCCACAGGGCTTCTGGGGACGGCGAGGAAAAGCTCCCCGTGTGACAGGGTGGCATGTGTCACCCCCACCTCCTGTCCACCCCGCCCGCCTCCTTGGCGGGAGACTGTCACCGCCAGGCTTGGGGCCTTCGTGCCCGTCGCCCTCTCCTCACGCAGAGCCGCCTGCCGCGCGCGCCTGGACCCTGGCCGCGGGGTGCAATCTGCACCCGCGCTGCGAGGAGCCGACTGCGCCTTCCAGATCCAGATTTATGGCTCAATTAACACGGCCGTCTGGCAATCTTTCTACTGCACCTCGGCTGCTGCCCGTGACCCCAACAATGAACCTGCTCTTAATTAGCATCTTCGAGTGAAAAGAGAAAGGAAAAATGAGGAGGGCAAGCAGGCAGGGCCCTCTGCTGCCACGGCGGAGCCTCTCACCGGAGTACGGGTTTCCGTAGACGAGGCTCGGCTTCTGTCTCGAGCCTGGCTGCTCCGAAGCAGGTGCTGGATCCGGCCGAGGGTCGAAGTCCAGACCCATGTAACTCAGCAACCTGCTGTTCTCCTTCCTCAGGAGCTGAGGGCAGAGGGTTTACAGACACGTCGGACGCAGACAGCAAACGGCCACCAGGAACTGGCTGGGGCCAACCCACGGTGTGGCGCGCAGTGAGTCAGTAATTCCTCAGAAGGGGAAGCAACACCCTGACAGTCCAAAGACCTGAGCTCTTTACACCTGAAGGTAAATATTTTTGCTGAATTTTGTTCACATTAACACAAAAAAGAGCTGGATATGGAGGCAGACACCTGCACTTGGGAGGCTGAGGCTGGAGGGTCACTGCAAGTAAGAGACTAGTCTGGGCTACAAAATGAATTTAAGGTCAGCCTGAAGTGCATAGTGAGACCCTGTCTCAAAACAAGACAAAACAAAACACATAAAAAAATTTTAGACAGGTATGGTGGTGTATGCCTGTGATCCCAGCACCTGGGAAGGCTGAGGCAGGAGGATCACCATCAATTTGAGGTCAGCCTAGGCTACATAGTGAGACCCTATCTCAAAAAACCAAATAAAATCAAAACATTTTAAACCTCTAACATACCCCAACTAAAGGGGGTGCAAATGTTGTTTGCACACAGGAGGGTAGCAGGAGCTATACCGAGAGTTTTTTTGTTTGGTTGTTTGAGACAAAGTCTTGCTATGCAGTTCAGGCTGGCCTTGAACTCACTATGTAGACAGACTGGCCTCATACTCAATGACAACCTTCCTGCTTCAGCCTCCTGCGTGCTGGGATTACAGTACAGGTGTCTGCTACCATGTCTGGCTGAACTGTGCACTTTAAACTTATTAAGTAATAAATTTTACTTTATGTGGGTTCCTTTGTTTAAAACTGCAATTAAAAAGTTGACACAGTCACTTAGAGACACAATCTAAGGGCTACAGAAAGGGCGGAGTTGGGGACACTGCGGGGACACTTGGTTCTCTGATGCCGGGCGCGAGCCGATTCTAAGAGCAGCTCTGTGCCGCCAGCACCTTTGGCCAGCCTAACTCAGCATGGGACACACGGAGGGGGGATACTTGACGGTGGACGAGCAAAGTGGCAGATGAATGAACGAAAGTGAATGCATGAGTGAGTGGGCCAAGGCATACACAGCATCTACCAGGGGCCCAGCCCCGGACAGACCACACCGCCGCTCCAGCTTGGCAGTAGGGGAGAAAAAGTTGTGCTGAAGGAGAGGGGTCCCCAGCCGGCTCAGAAATGCGGCGGCAGCCACCTGGCCCAAGAGGAGACTACAGCAGCTGCGCGGTCACGAGCAGGAAGTGGTGTTTCCACCACAGGCTGCTGCTTTCACTGCGGCCACTCCAGGCCAGGAAGTCTCAGGTGTGGAGCGCGGGCAGGGTTTCAGGGCGGATGAGCAGGGCAGACTCCATCAATGCTCCGTTCACCCCACAGAGGGCCCTTTCATTTGACTGCCCATTTTGCCCCCTTAACGCCTCGGCGTTGCTGCTTCCCACACTTACATCGTTTTCTCTTTCCATCTGCTCCTTCTCTCCCCGCAGACAATCACACAGAAGCTTGTTCTCACCTAGGCGTCTGGACAGGTCTAAGTTCTCGTCCTGCCGACGACAAAAACGCAGAATTAGCATCACCTACTCTGGGCCCAGGATGGGGCTGCGGGGATTCAGCCTTCAGTAGGGGGAGAACCCGGTGGGAACGGTGGTGCCACAGACAGGGGGCTGCCCGAAGACAAGCGACTCCACCAAATGCCCAGAGGCCTGGCCTGGCTTCAAGGTGCAGGGTCTTGCCGTTACTTAGCTGCAAGCAGAGGGGACCGAAGGCAGAAGGAAAGAGGACGAGTTTGGGGACCCCCATCAGAGCGCCATGTCCAAATCACGGATGGATGGAGACTTGTTCGACCCCACGCAGCCCGGAAACCCTCCGAGGATTTTTTTTTTTTTTTTTTGGTCTTTTTTGAGACAGGGTCTCGCTATGCAGTTCAGGCTGGCCTTGAGCTCACTTTGTAGCCCAGGCTGGCCTGGAACTCACATTGATCCTCCTGCGTCTGCCTCCCGAGTGCTGGGATTACAGGCATGCACCACCACGCCCGGCTCTCCAGTGTGTTCTTAATAAACACCTCTCAGGAAGCCTGCGCACTCAGGCTTAGTGGTGTGGTCCCTCCCACGAGGGTCAGGATGTGGGCTCAGGTTCCACTGAGGTCGAAGGGGCTCTGGGAACCTGACTGAGGTCTTCATCGCCCCAGAACGAGGCGTGTCCCCACACCGCCTACCTGCGCATGCACACACTTAAGCTACTCCTACTAGGTGAGGTTTGGTTCCGGAGGTTTTTATTGATAGCTGGAGCCCAAGCCGCTGCGAGCTGCCCGCCGACCCTGTGGCAGCGGTGTCAGCCAGGTGCTACTGGATGCCAGCACTGCCCTCGGGCTCCTGGCTCCCCGTCCCTGCCGGCTCCTGCTGGCTCCTCTGTTCCCGCGCCACCTCCTCTTCCTCATGAAGCAGAAATAAGAAAGGGCGGAGTCTGCACCGACCTGCCAGCATCCACACAGGCCTTCCCGGGGGCCCAGGACTGGCCTCGGGGCTCACAGAGGCCTTCCCTCCCTTTCAGTGGAAGGTAAGTTTCTCTCCCAAACAAGCCGCGCGCGCTCTGGGCTGGCTCTGGGCGCCCCCGCCTTCCGCCCCGCTGGCACCTACCCGCGCGGCGGCCCGCAGCTGCCTGATCTGTCTGTGCAGCCGGCGGCACTCCTTGTACTTCTCTAAGAAGCAGGCTTTGCCCGCCTCTACCTGGGCGTTCAGCCGCGCCACCTCTCGCACTAACTGCGCCTCCACCGTGGCCTCGTCCCTCCTGGGCTCCTAAGTGTGAGACACGCAGGCCCCGCAGTCAGAGCCGGGACAACGGCCGCTGCTCAGGGCTGGGGGCTGCAGAAGCCCAAGGAAACCAGGAAGGGGAGACGGGAGGGAGGCGCGTGCCCGGCTCGCGGGCGCACTGGGGTCGTGCACTGCGCAGAGGCGCTCAGCAGAGAGAGAACACAGACAGAAAACAGGAAGCAGGGCCGTCCCAGCAGGCTCAAACCTGTGAATGGTCACAGATTAGAAGTTCTGTGCAATGTCAGAGGGCACAAACCAAGGCGCCGGGCAGGCAGCGGGCTGGATGCGGGCGAACAGGGCAGAGGGGGCCGGGGATGGCGCTCAGGGTGAGGGTTCAATCCCTAGCACCCAACGAAGAAACGATCGAGAAACCAGCACAGCCCGCGGGCACCACACTGCCCCTACTCAGGTCCTGCTGCTGGGGAGGCACGTGGGGGCCCCGCTGATGGAGCCTCTAATTTTTAAAAAGAAGCTAGAGATGCAAACATTTTATGGGAAATGTTCTCATCTTCAAGCGTTGGGCACTCAGTTTCTAAAAAAAAGCACCACGTAGGCCAAAGCGAACGTTTTGTGAGCTAAACTTGACCCACGGGCAGCCGTTCCACAAACCCCGCTCCATTCAGGGCTCTGGCGACAGCGTCTCTACAGTACGCATGCGCAGCTCTTCCGGCCAGCATCTCTACAGTGCGCGTGCGCAGCCTTTCACTGACCGGGTGGGCGGGGCAGCTGCGTGCCTATCGCTGGTACGCTGACCACGGCAGGGTTTCTCGGCATCTCACTTCAGCGCAAAAAAAGAGCTTCCAGACGCCTATCTGCGTCACGAGGCCTCTTTTCAACAATATATTACAGGAAGTTCTTACTCAGGCTCTCCTTACTATATAGCACTGCAGTTCAGAATGATTTGCAGTGCAGCTAATTGCTAATATCCTGGTAACAGTCTGCGTTAAGGGCAGTAATTCCCCGCTGTAATTCACAGCCCTGCGGTGATGCCATTGGAGGGAACGGGTTGTTCTGCGTGACTTCCGGCCCAGGCGCTCCTGTGACTGTCCTGACGTCACTCACATATCAGACACGCCCGCCCCTCCCGAGCACCTTCCGAAGGTCCCCTGTCCTTCCGCCCGGCGGTCTCCCCTCTCCTCCCCTGCCCACTGCGGGCTCCTCCCGCAAAGCTGCACAGAGACACACGTGCCATTAGGTCGGCCTGCGTCTTCACCGCAGCGGCTTCTCTCAGCTGCATCTCCTCCACCGTCTGCTCGAGCTTCTTCTGCTGCTCCCTCTGCACAGAACGAGAGGCCCCGGTGTCACCGCGAGAACGCACACGCACACGGTGCGCACACACATCACACACATGCACGCGGCGGGGAGGGCTGGCGGGGAAAGGCGGCCCTGAGACCACCGCGGGACGGCTCCCTGGGAGACTTCACCCGGGGCCCGGGGCCACCATGGAGCAAAACAACGGAGATCTTGGAAAGTCCCGAGAATACTATTTCTCCCCGGAGACTCTACCTGTTCGGTTAAACTGAGGCAGAGCTGGTCATTTCCATTTCTCAGATGCTGCAACTGTTCCGTCTTTTCCTGGTCTCCCCGGACCAGCTCCTCCATTTCTTTCTCTTGATTTAACAGCTGGGACTAAAGCGAAAACAGTGAATCACCCGAGACAGAAAAGGAGGAAACCAGCCGGGAGCGGCGGCTCGTGGCTGTCACCCCAGCACTCAGGAGGCTGGAGCAGGATGGTCACTGCGAGTTTGCGGCTAGCCTGGACTACGTAGTGAGACCCCGTCTCCACAGAAAACGGGGAAAAAAACAAACAGGGCCGGGAATTTAGCTCAGTGGTGCAGCACCTGCCTAGCAAGTGGGAGGTCCTGAGTTAGATTCCCGGTATCAAAAAAAAAAACCAAACAGTGTGGGAGGGAGCCCCTGCTCCACACTGGAAGACCCACGCAACCGGAAGCTTTGGTCTGAGGCGGGCCAGCTGGAGCACTCGGCAGGCACTGCAGAGGGTGCACCTCAGGGCCTGCAGGTTAGAGAGGGGCACAGGCTGGCGTCACCCACCTGCAGCTCCGTCACTCTGGTTCCCAGCCGCTCATTTTCGGAGCGCATCTTCTGGTCCTGCTCTTTCAGTCTGCACAGGGGAGAGATGTGAGCGGCTGAGAGGCCAGGAGACGGGAGGGAGGTCTGCTCACTCCAGGCGGCTTCCCAGCCCTAACGCATCTGCGGATTCCCTAACAGGCAGTGCTTCAGACACATCCCACAATCCACTGCCCAGCTGGGTGTCCACGGAGCAGCTCCACCCAGCCCACAGCGCGGCCCACACTCACTGAAGCCGCTCGCTATCCCAGCGGCCCTTCTGCTCTTCCGCTTCCCGCTCCAGCTTCTTAATGATGCTCTGTAGAGTTTCCAGTTCCTCCTGCAGTTGAAATGCCATCAAAAGAATGGACTGTTTTTAAGACTCATTTTATTTTGAGACGGGGTCTTGCTCCATAGTTCAGGCTGACCTTGAACTATGTAGCCCAGGCTGGCCTAGAATTCCCAGAGATCCTCCTGCCTCAGCCTCCAAAGTGCTGGGATTCTAGGTATCTACCAGCACACCTGGCCTCTAAATCACATTAGTATTTAAGGCTTGTGCTCACTTGGGCAGCACATACACTAAAAAGTATTTAAGGCAGACTAAAAACTTGTTTGTTTTTTTTTTTGCTTTTGGAGGCAGGGTCTTCCTATGTAGCTCAGGCTGGCCTCGAACTCAAGTGTGCAGTCCAGGCTGGCGTCCAGGCTGGCGTCCAGTTCATGGTGATCCTCCTGCCTCAGCCTCTCAAGAACTGGGATTACAGGCATGCATCACCACAACCAGCTCAAGCCAACAGCATTTACTGAGCACTTCCTGAACGTCACAGCATACATTTATTGAGCACTGTGTCTCACAGCATGACAGTGTGAATGATCCAAGCAAAGGGATTTCTACATTAAAATGTTTTTAATTATTATTATTATTATTTTTTTTTTCTGGTACTGGAAATTGAACTCACGACCTTGTACTTGCCAGGCAGGTGCTATGCTGCTTACCTAAATCCCCAGCCCCAATTATGTTCTTTTCTTATTTATTTCCTTGTTTTGTAGTGCCAGGGAACAAACTCTGAGCCTTATGTATGCTAGACAAATGCTCTACCTCTGAGCTATAAACCCTGCTCATTCTTTCCATACCAAAAATGCATCTACCATAACTGAATGTGGTGGTGCATGCCTGGAATCGCAGCACTCTGGGAGGTTGACAGGAGGATCAGAAGCCCAGCCTGGGCAACTTAATGGGACTCTGACTCAAAAAAAAATAAATAAGATGGGCATGGTGGCACACCTGTAATCCCAGCACTCGGGAGGCTGAGGCAGGAGGATCATTGCGAGTTTGAGACCAGCCTGGACTACAAAGTGAGCTCAAGGCCAGCCTGAACTGCATAGCAAGACCCTGTCTCAAAAAGAATAAATAAATAAATAAATAAATAAATAAATAAATAAATAAATAAATAAATAAATAAATAAATAGGACTGGGGATGCAGCTCAGTGTGAGGGCTCTGGGTTCAACCCCTAGTACCTCAAAAAAAGAGGAGGAGCCTGGATGTGGTGGTACACACCTGTAATCCCAGCATTTGGGAGGCTGAGGCAGGAGGATCACCATGACCTCAAGGCCAGCCTGAACTACACAGTGAGACCCTATCTCAAAAAAAAGTATCTACCTTAATTTCACTTCTATAGTTCATACATTTGTCCTTTAACTCATTAAGCAAGCATTTATTGAGTGCCTATTTCTCATCAGACACAATTTGGCAGTGGACAAGACAGATAAAAGTTGCTTTGCTTCTCGAACAGGGTTGTCCTATAAATTGCTAAAAGCCCTATGAAAATTTTAGTAGCCACATTAAAAATTAAAAAGCAACAGATGAAACAAATTTTAATCATACTATACTGAACACAATATAGCTAATGCACCATTTCAACAGGGGAGCGATACAAAAAATAGCACATCTCTTTTCATACTAACCCTCAGAGAAGAGCTGTGTGTTTTACGACAATACAGATGCATCTCAAGTGTCCAACACCCACAGGGCCCCACCTGCCCTCTCACTGGCGCTGGACATTTGTCTTTTTCTCCTTAGCTTCCTTTTGCACTGAAGTCAACTTTGGACATCAATATCAACTTCCTGCTTTTATCTTTATTTATTTTGCGGGGGGCAGGGTCTCACCGTGTGGTTTAGGCTGGCCTTGAAATTGCAGAGACTCTCCAGCCTCGGCCTCCTGAGTGCTAGGATTATGGGGATGCACCACCATGCCTGGGTACATGGTTTAACACTAAGCTTTTCAAAATTCTTATTTATAGTCTTTGGAGAAAAACCGCCTTTCACTTATCCCCTAATATTATCGACCCTCATCCACTGCCTGCTGGTGTGGAGCATAATTCAAAAGAGGAGCAGCAACGAAACATTTGGGGCACCACAGCGTCACTTTAATACTAACTCCTCGGTCTCTGATGCTCACACTATAGCTAACCCAAGGAAGGCTTCAAACTATACACAGGCAGCAGGATTATTTGACACCTCTGAGCCAGACCAGATAATAATCTGTGGCTTGGAAGGGTTCCCCCTACTTTTTTTTTTTTTGGTCTTTTGAGACAGGCTCTTGCTGTGCAATTCAGGCTGGCCTTAAGCTCACTCCGTAGCCCAGGCTGGTCTCGAACTCACAAGGATCTTCCTGCCTCAGCCTCCTGAGTGCTGAGATTACAGGCGTGCGCCACCACGCCCGACCCAAGGTTCCCTTTTATACTATTTATTTCTTTTTATTTTGCACAGCTGGGGATCAAGGCGCCACATGCTAGACAGGCGCTCAACTCCTGAGCTCCACTCCCGCCCTTAGCTTTCCACCTCTATGACAGGAAACCTCACAGTGTGCCTATTCAGACATGCACATCTGGGAGACGACAGGCCAGAGGATCGCTCCGGGCAGAGCGCCGCCCGGCTCCGACGCAGCCGCACCTGCTTCCTCTGCAGCTCGGCCTGCGCTGCCGAGTCCTGCTCCTCCAGGCGGGCACAGCGGGCCTTCAGCTCCTGGTTTTCCTGGCGCAGCTCCTTGTTGCGCTGCTCAGTCTCTTCCACCTTCACCTACAGAACAGCACCCCACAGACGGGTAAGGTCCTCTCGCAGAAAAGCCTGTGCCGGCGTGGTGGTGCACACTTGTCATCCCAGCACTCGGGAGGCTGAGGCAGGAGGGTCACCGAGAATTCGAGGCCAGCCTGAGCTTCAAGGTGAGACCCTGTCTCAAAGCTGCCCCCCCCCACTCCAAGAGCCCCGCAGGTGCTTGGTGGCCAGAAGCTCGCCTCTCCCGCTCTCTAGTGACGCCTGTGTCCCAGATGGGGCAGCTGCGCATAAGTCTGCAGGCAAGGAAGGAGCAGAGGAGCTGTCATGGAGGTAGCAGCCCCGCCAGTACTGCTGGACAAAGTGAAAACCAAGGCCAGGACTAGTGGACTCTCCCCGCAGACACTTAGCACCGTTTGTCCTCACAGGACTTGGCTCCCCAAGGACAGCAAGAGTTTGACATTTTCTGTTGTTTTTGAGACAGAGTTGCACTATGTAGCCCAGGCTGGCCTTGAACTCACAACAACCCTCCTGCCTCAGCCTCCAGAGTGCTGGGATAACAGACATGCGCCACCATGCCCGGTTTAACAGATTCTTACAATAGCCCCAGGGCTGACTATGCTTTGGGATGGAAAGTACTCATCCTGCTAAACAAGTAAGGAAATGAACCTGCTTCCTCTGCAGGTTTGACAGGCTCCGGGTCAAAACTCAAGAGACACAAATATTAAGTGCCTACTCTCTGGCAGAGCTTTTCGTTTGTTTTGTTGTTGGGCAGAGGGTTTCTTGTTTTCTCGTGGGTTTGTGAGTTAGGGTCTCGATATGTTGCCCAGACTGGTCTCAAATTCATGAGCTCCAGTGATCTGCCCAGCTCAGCCCCCAGGCGCCGGGTGACAGATGTGCGCAGCCCCGTGGAGCACGTCGTTCACTGTGGTGGTTAGACATGCAGAGGACGGGTTCAGCCAGGAGAGCTGAGGCAAGAACCGAGCGCCACGCGGGCTGCAGGAGTCTCGGGAAGGGCTCTCGCCCTCTGTGAGGGTTCTCTGGGCCCTACAGATCTCTGTCAGTCAGACACCCCAGGACAGCTAACTGACCCACAGCCCCGCCCTGGCTGCCGCCCCCGCAGCAGGAAGGGATGGAGACAGACGAACCCAGACCTTGGTGGTGACAACCAGGATGTCCTCTTCACTCTCTGGACGGAACTGGAAAGGAACGCTTGCTCCCCGGACCACGCCGTCCTGATCCACGTAGCAGAACTGGTAATACTCATCGTCCTTGGGCAGGTAATAAGCTAACAACACACAGCATTTGTGTTTACAAATAAGACCCATCGCCCAGTGTTCAGCCTGCACGCCTCTTCCTCTGCCTGACAGAGCGTGAGCCCAGGGAACCGCCCAGCCTGGCCGAGGTCTCCAGGCCTTCCGCTTTCTCACCTTTAAACTGGACCTCCTGCTGCTTGGCTGCATCGGTGCTTGAGTCACCGGGCAGAGGCACCCACATGAAGGTGTAGTACTCCCGGGTCGTCTTCCAGCCCACCTGCAAGGACAGCAGCGCTGAGGCTGACACTGCAGAGAAAATGCGTAGGGGCTATGGCTTCCTAAAATACACTTCCATTTACTGGCTTGTGTTGAAAATACAGGCCGAGTGTGGTGGGGCATGTCTATATTCCCACCACTCGGGAGGCTGAGGCAGGAGAACTGCTGTGAGCTGGCCTGGGCTACACAGTGAGTTCAGAATGAGTTCATTATGACAAGATTCATGTTCTTTGGACTGTGGACAACTATATGGGAAAATGTCTGACATGACTGATAACTGAGGCCCATGTGCACGGTTAAAAACACCAATCAGAGCAGGCGTGGTAGCGTACACCTGTAATCCCAGCACTCGGGAGGCTGAGGCAGGAGGATCATTGCGAGTATGAGACCAGCCTGGGCTACAAAGTGAGCTCAAGGCCAGCCTGAACTGCATAGCGAGACCCTATCTCAGGAAAACCAAACCTAACCAAACCAAACCAAAAGAATGAAAAAAACAAACCACCAATCAGAAATAACTTCCCAGATAACTAGAGAGATGGTGATCATATGGAGTGAAACGTTTAAAGTGATTCTAGAGTGATACAGATAAAAACAATAGAGGAGATTAGGAAAATGATGGAAACCAATATAGGAAAGACATGGAATCCATGAAACATTCAAACAGATAACCCGGAGATTAAGAATCCCATTGAAAGTATACACAGCTGATGGAGAACACTATGTAGCAGCTCTGAGCGGGACTTATATTAACCAACTGGCTTTCCATGTTTACTTGTGAGTCCCTGGTCCCCACTGAGGCCTCTAATGTTGGGTGAAGCCATGAGGCCTCAAAGGACAAGACAAGGCCACAGCTGAAGACCTTTGGCTCCAACCCCAATTAACTAAAAGTAGACTGTAGCTGCAGGCATCTCACTCCTACAGTGCAGGCCTTCCTGGAGATAACATGGTTCTCCTAAGTTAACAAAAGTATTACTTGGAGAGGATTCCGTAAAGGGTTTCCCAAGTCCTGCCCAGATTCCTGCATTTTCTTCAGTATCCCCTGTTGATTATCTATCCATCCCTGTCCAGGATGAACAGGTCCCCAGATCAAGGTGCCCACGGACGGGTCAATCCCTTCCTCCAAAGAACAACTCCAGAGCCATATATCTGGGCTCAGGGGGCTAGCTGCCTTCTCAACTCAAGCCCCACCTGCCATCTCCAGTAACCTTTTATTCATTGAGAACAAAGGAGGCAGCCCTGGAATTGGGGTGATCTCAACTGTTTTTTTTTGCAGGGCCAACACAACTCCGTTAGCATAGGAATGAGACTGGACCAGTAAGCCATCATGTTATCTTCCTTAGGGCATATCTCAGAAAAGCATCCAGTGCTCTCCCTGGGGCTAACAATGCTTTTGCTAGCCTTCCTCCACTTGGTCAGACCTGAGGCAATACATCCAGAGAACGTCCTTCTCCACAATCCCCCTCCTTTATCTGAAAACCTAATAAATACAGGAAGCCCAGAGAATCTTAATTTTTTTATTTTTGGTACTGGGAATTGAACTCAGGACCTTGTGCTTGCCAGGCAGGTGCTTATGCAGCTGAGCTATATCCCTGGCCCTTTTGAATCTTAAATTTTGTAGGAGAGTTGGACCTTCCTGGAGCCCTACAATCATTTCAATTGTCTCATTTATTTAAGCCTTCGTCCATTCATTTGGGAGATTGTGGGCCTGATCAACCCACAATAACTAAGCAGTGCGAGCCATGGTAGGACAGAATTTCAGATATAGAAGACAGGATCATGGCTCCCGGAGGGTGGGCCCCCAGCGCACAGGGAGCCTCGGGCGGGGAGCGCTGGTCTTTGGACC